CGAATCAGACCAGTCCGAAGGTCTGACCCGAGTTTGGTGGTTGTAGCTTTAAAGGTCTAGGAGGAGATACATTTTAAAATTTGGTCTCAGAAGAAGAAGAAGTTTAAATAGGATTTTAGTAAATTGGCTTTTTCAAGCCAACTTAATAAATGATGAATTCAATAGTTTTCCATCTGATAAAAATAAAAATGTGGTCAGTCTAATCAGTTTAGGTGTTTTCAAAACCAGGTGGCTGCAAGGGTGTACTAGGGCGTAGCACTGAATACTATGTTTCAAAGTTAGAGAAAAAAAGTTAAAATAAAATGTAAAAATAAGTAGGAAAAAATAAGATTAAACTAAATAAAAATATTAAAATAAAGAATGAATAGATAAAAAAAAAAAAATTATTTATTTTGTAATATTACAATACAAATTATATTTATAATATACAGCTCTGGAAAAAATTCAGAGACCATTGCAAAATTATCAGTTTTTACTATTTATAGAGTATATTTGAGTAAAATGAACATTTTTGTTTTGTTCTATAAACTACATCTCTCCCAAATTCCAAATAAACAATGTCATTTAGAGCATTTATTTGCAAAAAAATTATAACTGGTCAAAAAAAAAAAAAGTGTTGTTATCAGACCTCAAATAATGCAAAGAAAAGTTCATATTCATTTTTAAACAACATGTTTTAACTTAGGAGCTATTCAGAAATCAATATTTGGTGGAATAACCCTGATTTTCAATCACAGTTTTCATGCTCTCCATCAGTCTTTCACATTGCTGTTGGGTGACTTTATACCACTCCTTGCTTGTGACCATCCCTCTTCCTCTTCAAAGGTTTTCAGTGGGGTTCAAATCTGGAGATTGGGCTGGCCATGACAGGGTCTTTATCTGGTGGTCCTCCATCCACACCTTGCTTGACCACTTAAGCAGTCAGACTTTTTATTTGACAGATGATGAATTAACACACTGAATGAAGCCATGTCTAGAGACCACCAACCACCTAGGCTGTAAAAAAGTAAGTAGCCTAAATAAAAAAAAATAAAAAAATACAGAATACCTTTTAAATAGGCAAGAAACATTTTCTTCAAAAAAATTTTTTTTTATAAATATATATATATAAAATTTTACTATAAATTGTATTTCTGTTAATTAAAATTAATTGCCGAGACTTGTCATTTACACTTATATATTGTTGCTCTTTTGTTAGTTTTGATAGCTTCTATTGTCCTCATTTGTAAGTCGCTTTGGATAAAAGCGTCTGCTAAATGACTAAATGTAAATGTAATTCCGACATACAGTATAAGCTACGTAAATGGCTGGAACAAAATCAAGTGCAGTAAACGGTAAAACTGTTTGTGCTACAAACCTGTTTGTTCACGATTACGATAATATATTAAAATTATAGGATAAGAAATACCAGTTTACAATATCAAGTAGGCTAGCATAATGGACTGTTTTTGTACAGCTAAAATAACTTATAGCTTATGACACCAGAAGTCTCGCACATTCAAGTTATAAATGGACGTGTGCGCTCTTAAAGGGGTCATATGATGCGATTTCAAGTTTTCCTTTCTCTTTGGAGTGTTACAAGCTCTTGGTGCATATGTATAATAATTACCTCACACGAACAGTTAGAATAAATCAAATCTGCGTTTTGCATAAAATACTCACTTGGCTCCAGCAGATCAGGTCGTTCGTTGACGGAGCCTCTACAAGTGTCCAAAGTTTGCTGACAAAAGCCGGGACGCAATGGTTGCGTTTCAGCTCTCCTGTTTAAAAACAGAGGTGAAGAAACCCTTTATGCCTTTCGTGAAGATAAAAGCTCGTCACACTGCTCTAGATTAGCTGGCTGTGAGGAGGTAAATAAAGTCCCAGGTTGACCTACACGTGAATTTTCCTGCTGCGACACACTCCCTTGTCCCTCTATCCGAGACACCCCTCGCTGCAGACTGTAGCGCGGTGACATCACGTATCTACGTCACGTATGTGTTTACCGCGCATGCGCAAAGTGACGTAAGGTATGTGTATAACACGCATGCGCATTAACGTGGTGACAACTTCTCTCTGTATCGTGCAGAAAATGCACTCCAGTTCATGACACCTAATTTACATAAAAGAACAAACAATATTAAAACAACATTAAATCATTTTGAAGAAAGGCAAAAGAGCCATACAAGGAGAATATTTTAAATGTAATTTAAAATATATTATAGGATGGTGTTAGGAAAAGTGTGTTATTTGCTTTGTCTGTAAAGTACCTAAGAGATTTAATTTATAATTAACATTACCATCAACTATACTGTGTGCATAATTATTAGGCAAGTTGATTTTCTAGTCTTTTTTTTTTTTTTCAAGCACTTTTTTACCAATTCCAAACCACATAAATCTTAACTACTATTGATTTTGTATTTAATCATTTATAAGTGATATATAATTGTCCATGAAGGCTGGAAGTGAAAAACTCTTTGCATTCAGGTGTGCAGAATTATTAGGCATGTTTTCTTTTACTGATAAAATGAGCCAAAAAACTCAGACTGAAAAGTAAAATTAAAAAAAGTTTGTCGAGTCAAAATTTAGGTTGGTTTGGCTTGAGAAAGCATAGCCTGAAAGTTTGAAGTTTTTTTTATTTTTACTTGAAAGTTTTACAGTTGAGGGCAATACAGTCTACCAGAAAAAAACAAAAAACAGATTGATGAGCAGACAGACACTCGTAAAAAAACGAGTGTTTTGGGCTACTAGAAGTGCTCAACAGATGCAACAGGTGTCCTGACATTTTATCCTACCCATCAGATTGTCCTACCAGGGCTTACTGCGCATGCGCACAATGGGTAGGTTTAGGGTTGGAGTAGGTGTAGAAGTGAATAAAAAACAATCTAATAGGTAGAAAAATGAATTTAGCCGTAGCGGTATACCTTCCAGCCACAACGGCGAATAACACATAATTACTGCATTTGCATTACTGTAAGGGTAGGTGTAATAAACCATAATTTGTTTTAATGGGAGGTAGCAAAATCTGACAGGGTAGCACAAATCGACAGAATGCCCCAAATCAACCACACAGACGGATTGTGGTCTGAAAGACTAATCCTGCGATTGACTGAGTTTCACAATAACACTAAACGCATTTTGTACTGCATTGGGTTTTACACTTTATAATCCTTGATGTGGTTCCCTCTTTAAACCCTCTGTTATAGCCTACAGCAAGCACTTTTTGTAATTAAGGTTTTGGTCATGCAACTAAAAATGCATTATAAAAAAGTAAACGGTAATCAAAGATTTAGATGCCATTTGCAAAACTGCGGTCCTGCTCTCCCTCGTTTCATTCATAATTACAATGCATGCAAACGATTCATCCGAGGCTTCAGTGTGAATGGGGCTTTCTTGGCGGCGGGGTGAATGTAGCACAGGCGACAGGTCTGCAAAGATGCCATCCATTCAGGCATGTGAGCAAAAAGCCGATAATGAGCAGTGGAGGCGCACTTCTTGTACGAGTCCGTCACAAACCCTGCTGCTCTGCTGCACAGACACAAACGAGCGACCCCTCGTTGTCTGCAGAGCAGCTCCTCACTACAGAGCATTCACTCATTAGCGCCACACTTCATGCAGTTCATTAAAAAAAATGTAAGTGTCACTTTTTAGGGCCACTGCACAGGGATTGGACTGACATGATGCAGCCATTTTATATTTTAATGGTTTTAGTTTTAATGTTAGTTTTAGTTAACAATAATAACCCTTGTCTAATGAATTGGAAATTTCATGTACAGAAAGAAAAGCAGCAGCTCTCATGAGAAGAGTATGAAATCCAGATAATAATAATAGACCAAATATCTAAATAAAACATGAAAAAAAGAACAAAAATGCAGAACAATACTGTCAGTTCTCGTTCAAGTGAGCCAGTAAGCATTATGCAATCATGCGCGTTTCTTATTACAATAATATATATGCTGTAAACAGTAGTGAGATTACCTCAATTAAACAACAATTCAATTAGTGGTGTCCAGTTATCATCTGGAATATAAAAATGTTGCATTTCTATTCGTTTTGTGTACAAATGCCAGGGTATAGCTTGATTAAATGAGCCTAGAGAGATCGTAATATTACACTGGAAAAGGAAGTTTGAGCACACTGCATTGTGGGATACATTTTCTAATGCACTTGTGCTCTGAACTCATATAGGAACTCTATACTAAAAATGCACATACTGCAAAAACAGTACCAAGTAGTATGGAGTTTCAAAGATAGTCAATACTTTACCAACATTCTGTGTAGAAGCCTGACATCTAGAGGCTAAATGTGGTACTGCAAGATCAAGTCTGAAGTTTGAACAATGTTTCATATCAAAATCACACTTTGCTTTTTACTACCCCAGACAGAGCATATTGAAACAGAAAGCAAACTAAATGACGTCCAGTAATGTCTCTTAATATATTTAAACATTAAATTTGAAAGGATTTAGTGCTAGTGTTTTAGTAAAAGGCTTTTAAGCACCTGAATCAGTAACATGCGATTTGCTAGTTTTCTTTCAAATAAAGGCACAGAAACGCTTCTCAACTAAAACGGCATGCTGTTTCCATTAGTTTGAAATGAAAATATATTTATATTGCTTTAATATGTTGCATAATCATACTTTCATATGACTATGGAACATATACACATGTGGTCTTTAAAAAACACAATACTAGTTATACACATTTTGTCTCATTTTACTGTGAAATCAAAACATTTGGCTGCCCATCGAATTTATGTAAATGTACAGGAAACGCAGCACAAAAAAAGGAGAAAACCAATACTGAATAACTGTATGTAACATACAGAAATATCGCAGTCAGTGTTCATAATGTATAAAGATGAATAATTGATTTAAAACATTTAAAATCAGTCAGACAGCTGGTGGTTTTAAGATAGTGTTATGCATGACAAAGAGAAAACACAAAAGTGGCATGGAAACAATTTCACAGATAAAATATGAAGAGTTTAAAAAAGCTCAAACAAGTTCAAGTAAAAAAAAAAAATCTGTAAAAGACTCCATTTACATGTCAGATACTATGTTTCTCAGTGCTGAGGAAAATTTCTTTTTTTCCTCATTTAAAACTGATAAATTATCTGGTCAAAGTTTTTAAAGACATCAGCATCTTTGTGCTTGTAAATATCAGTTCCTCTAAAAAAAACAAGCAAACTGAGCCTTTCGTTTCCTTGAAATCACATGCAGTTTGTGAAGGTTCCAGTTTTCTGGCCATGGGACACGAAAAAATGCAAAGTATTTTTCAGCCCAGGAAACTCAGAGCAGCCATTACTGAGAAACCACACAGGAGGAAGAACACTTTGAGCAGAGGCCGCTCAGGGGAGTTCAGTTCATGGGGAAGGATCTCTAGGAAGGTGATGTAGACAAACGTCCCAGCCGCCAGCCCCTCCAGCACCGCCTGGATCAAAGCGCCAGCCTCCAGCTGAGCCTCGATCACAATGATGCCGATGCTAATGCCGAGTGGAGACATCACAGCGAAGACGGCCACGTAGAGCGCCACCCACAGGGGCCTGACCGCACTCTGAACCAGCTTCACTGACAGACTGAAGACGATGATGCTCTTGTGGACCAGAATAGCGATGCAGATCTCCAGCACCTGAGCAGAGAGACGAGTGAAGTCAAACTAGGTTATATTCATCATTACATTATTCCAATTACATGTATTACAGTTGTGCATTATTCCAAAAGAAGCAAAATGGTCTTCACAAGCCTTCATGTAAATGTAAGCCAATGAAACAACTTTACTTTTTTGCTGAAGTCACCAAGCCCCCCCCAAACACCACCACATAGGTCAATTCCTGGTTGATAAAATCAAACGTCACCTAGTATTTTCTTTTCATTGACTTTAAAGGTCAAGTGTAATTATTATACACAAATGGCTAGTTATAAAAACTGTGATTCTAATATTTATATCTAAATAGATTTCAAAAAGAAACTGTCATTTACTTACCGTAATCATGGCTTACTTAAAGCCATGATGATACACAATATATTTTAACTAGTGCTGTCAAGTGATTAATCGCATCCAAAATAAAAGATTTTGTTTACATAATATATGTGTGTGTACTGTGTATATTTATTATGTATGTATCAATACAAGCTCATGCATGTATATATTTAAGAAAAATATGTTATGTTTATATATCAAATAAATTTATATATATTATAAAATATAAGAATATGAATATATAAACGTGTAAATATTTTCAAAATATATACTGTATGTTTGTGTATTTATATATAAATAATAAATATACACAGTACACATACATATATAATGTAAACAAAAACATTTATTTTGGATGTGATTAATCATGATTAATCGTTTGACAGCACTAATTTTAACACGCTTCCCATTTAAAATGAAGCTATTCTGATTTTTTTTTTTTTTTTACAATAGTAACGTTTCTTATTTTGTTTGAAATTGTTTAATAATGATAATATCATAGAAGTTTTCTTATTCACTTAACTTTTTTATTTTATAGTGAAACATTACAATAGTAGCTTTCCTTATTTTGTTTAAAAACTTTTTAGTAATAATAATTATCATTACTAATAATTTTATAGTCACATTGATATATAAAAACAAAATTGTGGCCAAATTGTGCAGCTCTACAAGCAAGCATAGCTTTTTTTTTAAACTGCATTTTAAAATCACAAAAAAGAGAGAAAATATGTGATACTGGCTGTGAAAACCCAGCTAAAGTCGTTTTTGTGATTTACTGTTTTCTACATAAAATCATCCTTCATAAGGCAAAGAACATTCAGTGAAAATGTAACCTTTACATCTTTAATATTGACTGAGTAAGGCCATGTCAAAGATTGAAATCATAGTGAAATTAATGGTTGAAATCAAACTTTGATGCTTGTTATCTCATAATTAGATTTAGAGACTTTAGCCTGGATTTCACAGAGAGGGTCACATATGAATAAAATCGCTATTAGATGTTTTTGCAAATTGTGCAGCCCTGTTTTCTGTTATTAAAACGGACTTTACATTTATATCTTCTTTTGTGTTCCACAGAAAAAACACGAGGGTGAGTAAATAATGAAAATTTCCATTTTTGGGTGAACCCTCTCCTTTAACATTTTTAAAGTGTTTAGTGAATTTAAAGTGTTTTGGCATCACAGGATAACACCCTACATAAACAGCATGATTTGAAGTCATGATGCTAAATATTTAACCTGTAAACCTTTGAACCCAAAACTTTTATCAGCTTTCTAACCAGGTCAGCACAGTGACTCAACAGGGAGCTGTCAAACAAAACAAAACTCAATAAATCACCTTCGTGTCTGTGGTCTGCAAGCCAATGGCCAAACCCTCAAACACCGAGTGGAGAGAGAGAGACAGGAAGAGCATGAAGGAGCGGAAGGACGAGTGCGCGTGAAAATCCACGTGGACGTGGTGACCGCTCCCTTCCAGATCATTCAGCGAGTGATGTCCATGGGCATGTCCGTTACCTGCAGGAGCTAAAAGAGGAGCCGTCTCCTCATTTCTGTGGCCCTCTGTGCAACTCAGAACTATCTTTTCCAAGATCAAGACTGTGAAGAAGCCACACGCCATGATGAACTCTGCAAGCGGGAAGCCTTCCTGGATGATGAGGAGAAGTGGCATTTGGATGTGATTAATCATGATTAATCGTTTGACAGCACTAATTTTAACACGCTTCCCATTTAAAATGAAGCTATTCTGATTTTTTTTTTTTTTTTACAATAGTAACGTTTCTTATTTTGTTTGAAATTGTTTAATAATGATAATATCATAGAAGTTTTCTTATTCACTTAACTTTTTTATTTTATAGTGAAACATTACAATAGTAGCTTTCCTTATTTTGTTTAAAAACTTTTTAGTAATAATAATTATCATTACTAATAATTTTATAGTCACATTGATATATAAAAACAAAATTGTGGCCAAATTGTGCAGCTCTACAAGCAAGCATAGCTTTTTTTTTAAACTGCATTTTAAAATCACAAAAAAGAGAGAAAATATGTGATACTGGCTGTGAAAACCCAGCTAAAGTCGTTTTTGTGATTTACTGTTTTCTACATAAAATCATCCTTCATAAGGCAAAGAACATTCAGTGAAAATGTAACCTTTACATCTTTAATATTGACTGAGTAAGGCCATGTCAAAGATTGAAATCATAGTGAAATTAATGGTTGAAATCAAACTTTGATGATTGGTATCTCATCCTTAGATTTAGAGACTTCAGCCTGGATTTCACAGAGAGGGTCACATATATGTATGTATTTATTTATTTATTTATTTAATGTAACTTACATGGAAATTTGAATACCCAACCTAAATTGGATCAATAACTAAATTAATATCTTCCCTGTGTCAGAAGCCTCTAGTTCCCTCCTACACTGAACAGCGACGGTCTTGCTAACAATTTTGTTAAGGATTAAGTGGTCCTGCTTAAGGGGATTGTGGGATTTGGCAGATTACTGCTCTGACATTTGTAAATAAACAGTGGAATTTCAGTTCTTCAGATCCTGACTTGTAATCAGCAGGATGGATTAACTAAGATGCACTAATCAATTAATTAATTAAAACATGCTGACTGGTGGTACTTTCCTTCTTTTTTTTTTTTTATGCATATCCTGTTTTTAAGGCTTACGGAAAAAAGACTGGGGGAAAAGTGCTGTGTACAGTATATTGCCTTATCGTTGCATCATGGAAGCACAAGGTACAGTTTCTGTATGGGTGGTCGTCCCAGTTTTTAAGAGTTTTAGGCAAAGGATATAAACAATCTTGGGAGATACAACGCTGGCCAGCTTGACATCAAGTCCTGGGCTGATTTATAAGCTAATACAAATACATTTGCGCTTCCCTGCACCCAAATGTCTTATTGAACTGTTAGTACAAGCAAAACAAACTGGGAATACTTTGGAGATCAAACAGAACTCACAATGGACTCCATTAACCATATTTGGGGAATATCATGTGGGAGCTAGTTTTCTAATATGCCTGTGCTAAGAGGTTTTATGAGACTTTTCTTAAAAAAAAAAAGTGAATATGCTTTTTTTTTTTTCTCTGTGTAACAGCTCTTGCAGTGTTTTTCACTTGCTGTTTAGAGAAGATGTGAAACATGATGGGTGTTCAGAAGATGAACATCAGGTTATGCCAACCCACCAGCAATTTGTTCAAAGGTATTTCAGCTGCAATTTTCATCAAAATCTTTTGCACCATGCTATCTCCCAGCCTTTCATAAGACTATTGTTATATATGCAAGATAGGATTGTAAGATTGTCTGTTTCATGACCCTTTTCTGCTTGTGTGAGGGAGTTGCCTGTGGCTTTGTTACAAAGGAATCTTTTCCAGAGGTTATATAAATCAGCTGTGTTTTACAAAGGCTTCGTTCTTCAAAGTCTAGAGAGCATTGGGTTGTTTTTCCTCTTTTTCCTCCTCCATTCTATAAGATTCAGCTGCATGCATCAAAGTCTGTTTATGATTGCGCTTGATTCATTTTGCAATATAATCCATACAAAGGCTTCCTGACACTAGCATCCCTGTATACAGACAGGTCACTAAATACCAAGCCATAGGCTTGATGCTTTTTATAGTCTCACATTAATGTTTAACTCTCAAGCCTTATGAAATGCTCAAGCTTGGCTCTTGTTTGCTTCTGGAAGTCTCTTCTGAAATCCAAATTTGCGGATGACTGGGTTGCCAGTTCTTTTCTCTTAATGTAGAACATTATGTTTGTAAATTTCATATGATTTTTCTTTCCTGATCTCATTCTCGATTTGTGAAATATTGCATTTTAAGGACGGCCCCTTAACGTTCCTTCAGTCCCTCATGACCATCTGAACTCCTTCCTGTCACTATGCTGGATCTTGTCTGATAAAACCTTCATGCTCCCAGTCCATCTGTTTTTAGTCTTCCCAGTGACAGAGGATCTACCCTCTCTAAAATCATTAGCTGTGCTCCGATTCACAGGGTCCCTACTCTTTGTACACTGCTCCCCACACTATCAGCAGGGAATATCTGTAGTTCACTTCACTTGACAAAAATTGTTCATTCCAGACAATGCCCTACATCTACAGCAGCACAGACAAAAGTCACATAGATTTAAGTAGAGGTGGGATTTCAATCGTGATGGTGTAATATTTGTAGAAATAAATATAAATTGAATTTACTATGAAAGTACAGGTGCATCTCAATAAATTAGAATGTCGTGGAAAAGTTCATTTATTTCAGTAATTCAACTCAAATTTTGAAACTCGTGTATTCAATAAATTCAATGCACACAGACTGAAGTAGTTTAAGTCTTTGGTTCTTTTAATTGTGATGATTTTGGCTCACATATAACAAAATCCCACCAATTCCCTATCTCAACAAAT